GCCACGGGATCGCAACCTTCGGTGTTGCACCAGCCCCTCGCTCAGCCAGTGAGCGGCTGGTCTGTACGTGGGATCCGAACCCTCGGTGGGAGCATCACCGCACTCCCAAGCGGCGGCGCACTGTAGCAGTGCGCCACCGGGCTGGCCCCTAATTCAACTTTTCCCTCAGGGTTTTACTTCTGTATTACTGATACCATTGCAAGAGAAATGCCAATGTAATATGTTTTCTGACATGATATAATTTTACTTTTAGTCTATTCCTTGACTCCATCCACCAGCCCCTCGCTCAGCCAGTGAGCGGCTGGTCTGTACGTGGGATCCGAACCCTCGGTGGGAGCATCGCCGCACTCCCAAGCGGCGGCGCACTGTAGCAGTGCGCCACCAGGCTGGCCCCTAATTCAACTTTTCCCTCAGGGTTTTACTTCTGTATTACTGATACCATTGCAAGAGAAATGCAATGTAATATGTTTTCTGACATGATATAATTTTACTTTTAGTCTATTCCTTGACTCCATCCTTTTGTTATAATGCAATCTCACTTGAAATTTGATCAACCAAGTTTGCTTGATGACACATCCTATTGAGTAATAAGTACTTTTATTTTGAACACTGGGGTTGTGAGTCTCTTGCAGTTCCATACCTAAGCTACTGACCATAAGACACCCTCCACTTATCTCTTTAAAAATCCAGGTTTAACTCTAAATCCTCCTCTAAAGCTCTTTCGGAAGGGTAGGATGGTGCAGTAGGGATGAGATAGCTTATTTGCTACCCCCAAACACTAAAGTGTAACATAATTAGCACACCCTTTTCTACATTCCTCTTAGCAGCTTGGTTAAATAATGACCAATGAGGAATGAAAATCAACAAAAGTCAGAACCATAAAGAGAAAAGCATACGTGCATATTTAAATTTGATCTACCTGCCTTCTTGTACCATAAGCTTAGAAAGTGGATTTTATCTGGACTTTGGGCATTCAATGCATCTGGACACTGAGAAAACCCAGTCCCCTTGCAGAGTGAGCTTTTCTTTAGCTTGGCTGAAAGTTGTAGCTTAAATGTGAAAGTTTCCTAGGTGCATTAAGATTGAGCAAGTCAATAATAGCCCAGTGAACAACTGTGTCTTAGTTACACAAGTGTCAAGTAGAAAAATGGTTTAAACCTCCACTGGTTATTTGGTATTAAGTTTCCAGCTTTGAAAATAAATAGCTAAACTGCTTTTAGCATTTAGATAGCAGTTGGAGATCACTGTCCCATAATATACCCTTTGTACTGTATTTTATTTTTATTATTACTATTATTACTCAGACTGTTTAAATGAGTCAGCTTAATATTTTCTCATCACACTGTTCACAGCTGGGTAAATGCACTCTGCCCTCATTTCCACATAACCATTTATATTGCTAAACCATCTCGCACACCCTCCTTTCAGTGCTTTTTTGACTGTTTCTCAGCTTGTTATTACCATCTTAGCTCCACCCTGTCATCATCATCTTAGGCCTATCACGTACCATTAGTTATTCTCATTCTCTTAATTCCATCCTATTGACTTATCTTTCCTTAGAAGCTTCCCTACCCTGGCTTTTCAGCCTTATCCTTCCACTATTCTTCTGCTGTTGCTTTATAGTTTATACCAGGGTTTGTGTGTCCCTGTAAAAGTATAAAGTGAAGTAAATACCACTTCAAATAAGAAAGAAATTTTCCAACTTTCAATTTTCAAAAGTAGGGGAGGGCACGACCCTTGGTGTTATGTGCTGCTTCTTTGGCTGCTAATACTTGAGGAGATCAATACAACTGAGCAACTCACTGGGAGGTTTTAGGAACAAAACTCTAAGGCTGGCCCTAGTACTATATGCTGTGGCTTTTGGCAAGTCCCTTACCTCTAAGCTTTGGCTACTTATCTGGTAAATAGGTGGTGGTGGTGGAGTAGGTACTGGCTAATTCTGCTGGGACACCATGAGAACAACTAACACTCCACAGGAGAACCTTTTGAATTAAAGGAACCGGAGTGGCAAACACTGGCTTTGAGGGTACAGGGTGGGCACTAACACTTCACAGGAGAACCTTTTGAATTAAAGGAACCGGAGTGGCAAACACTGGCTTTGAGGGTACAGGGTGTACACATTGAGGTAATTTATTAACTCAGATATGATTTTCTTTTTATTTTCCAGTGTTAAACAGGTCCGTGGTCTTGTTTGAAGTCATCATATTTGATGCATATTCTTGAAACAAAAGTCCAAGTGCCCACCTATTTCCTTCTGTATCCACAGAGAACCCTTTTAAGGAGTTTGCAGCTTGTCTTTCAAACTACATGTGGGTAGTGTTCCAATAACAGCTTAAATTGTTTTATTATGTGGCATCTAAAAGTAGCTGGTGAAGAGGCAGTACCACGTCTTAACTAGCATCAAGTGGTGCATGTTTAAATACAAAGCTCCTAAAATAATAACTTAAACTGGTTTCTAAAGAAAAGGGGGAGGCCCTTATTATAAAGACTCCTTCTAGTAATAGGTTGCTTATCTAGTACTTGAAATTTAGTCAATTATAGGTTTACGACTTAATGATTTTTTAAAATTAAAAAGAAAATTAAAAACACCTCCTCCACACTGATGTGGCATGACCCAGTGTAGATTTTTTTGTGTTTTTATTTTTTTGTACTCAATAGCCTCAAAATACCTTACTAATTCACATACATTTCTCTAAAGTATAAAGTATAGGACTGTCCTTTATCATGTGGGAATATTACCCTCTTAGAGCCAAACACTGGCCACCAGGCTGGAATACTAGCCGAGAACCTCAACATGCCACAGATAAGCCAACAGTCTAACTAACCTAGTGGGCCCAGGCTGGTTAATGGAAATGGAAGTGGGAGGGTGGCAGAAAGTGGATGGGAAAGAACACTAGTGTAACAGTGTTACCCAGTGCAAAGGCCTCGTTAATTGAAAAAAGGAGAAAGAAATTATAGGTCTGCTCACCGCCAAAGTACAAAATATGTCTTCTAACAGTTTTGACCACATATGCAAATGTAGATAATGTGTGGCCAAGAGCCTGGGCTCTGAAAACAGACCACCTGAATTTAAATCTCAAGCTCAGCCTTAACCAGTTGCACTAGTTACTTAACTTCTCTGTACAATGGGGAAACATGAGTACCTAGTAGGGTTGCTGTGAGGATTCAATGAGATCACGTACGTGAAGCATTTAACACAGTGCATACTACAGAGTACACTGTAAGCACTCACGTGATAAGTGATGGCATTTAAATCATCACCCTTATTCTTCCTCCCTATCCATTGCTTTAAAACTAACAACAGAAGCATGAAACAAGATAAAACTATCACCATTGTGGGTGCATTTCAGTCATCAGTGTGGAAACACAAAATCTGTTAGTTACATCTGCAGACAATGGGACTTCTCTTGGNATTTAAATCATCACCCTTATTCTTCCTCCCTATCCATTGCTTTAAAACTAACAACAGAAGCATGAAACAAGATAAAACTATCACCATTGTGGGTGCATTTCAGTCATCAGTGTGGAAACACAAAATCTGTTAGTTACATCTGCAGACAATGGGACTTCTCTTGGCGTCACCAGAAGGCCAAGTCTTCATCTATGTGATGCATATTCTCCTGTGTGATGAGGACTAGGAGCTATAGCCCATAAATATTGTACCACCGGATTAATGCATTCAGAAAAATTATATAAGGCAATGCTTAGCCAGGGATGAAGAATAAAATATAAAAGGCATTACCTGGATATATAGACTGAGGTAGAATGGATCTTTGACAAATAGAATGCTAGAATGCCTGGTGAACAGGACAGATGAGGAGTGAATGCTTCCACTAGTTTAGAGAAAAATTATGAACACAATGTATTCTTGTACTTTCATTCAAATATTGACCCCTTTGGAGATCAATATTTGAATAGAGAGTGGAGAAGTGTATGTAAGTATGTTGCAGTGGACAAGTGACCACAAATTGTCACCGAGTGACAAGTCAGCACATCCCTGCCACAGACACGCCTGAAAATGTGTCGACCCAGCGACAAAGATGAATCATCGTGAACTTCAGGGGCTCTGGCTCCGGATCTCTCCTGCTGCTGCCTCTGGCTGGCAGCAGCTCGCCAGCTGCCCCGTCTGCTCTGCACCGGCTTGGTCAGCAGCGCACCCCGCCGCCCGCACGCCGCTTCCACAGCAGCAGCCGCACGCCCCGCTCCCCTCCTGCATCTCTCCCCTCCTGACACTGCTCCGTGGAAAAGTACCACCGCCAGCACTTTCAGAGTCGTCCTTCTTGCCTCTTGTCCCATTTACTTTGAATCTAAGTAATGCGCAATACTGTCCTTCCTTCCTTCCTTCCTTCCTTCCTTCCTTCCTTCCTTCCTTCCTTCCTTCCTTCCTTCCTTCCTTCCTTCCTTCCTTCCTTCC